ATAGATATACATACATACTTACATATATACACATGTGTGTGTGTGGGTGTATATATATATATATATATATATATATATATAAAATAGACAAGCACAAAATATAAGTGTGTGTATATATGTATATGTGTGTGTGTTTGTATCTATGCACACACACATATTAAAGAAAAGGAAAGAAAATTTACAAATGTAAGCCAAAAGACTGTCTTAATTATTCTTTCCTATTTTTAGCTATGAAATCAGTCCAGATCAGGAAAATCCAACCATGTAACCTCTGTCATATTTTTCAAAGCCAAACAAAAGAACCACAATGAGGGATAAAATGCGAAGTTTATGGAATTCTGGCATTTGAGGAAATACATGCATCCTTTCTATTGTGAATTTTAAAAATTCACACACGACATACACACATACTAAATGGCATAGAGGTTAAGAAGTTTTCTTTCTTCTCTGAAACAATACTGCTTTTCACCCTTGAATTCAGATTAGGGTTTATTTCAACACAGTGCAACTTTGTCTTACTAAGGAAATATTTGCTTTCATATTTCTAAATGAGCCAGCCACAAGGTGACGTCAGCAGAACATATATGTCTTCAGAGCTGTTTTCAGGGCACCTTTGTGACTACTGTATTCATTTTCAATATGAATATTATGAAGACTGGCCAGATTCATAATATGGCTCTGTGGAAAAAACCCTTGGGAGGTAGACTGACCTTTTATTTTTCATTTTAGTTATTATGGCTTGAAGGCAGCACTGATACTGTGTCTCAGTTCATCAATAAGTATTATTTATTTCACATATAATTAACTCTAAGACCACTGTAATTTTGTATAATGATTTGCTTTTGAAATGTAATTTAATATAAATCCATCAAAGGCAAAATATCATTCAAATTTAATGCTCTTCAATAAAATTAAATGTCTAATTGTGTGTGTGCAAAACAAGCAAAGCCAAATCTTGTATTAAAAGAACTAAAAATGACTAAACTCAGAAATTCAAACCTTCAACCTCATGCACACTGGGGAGAGTCCCTGGTTAAACAGAAACATCTAGTTTACCTAAGAGCCTGTAGGTAATGAGGCAATATCATAATCTGAGATATAAGAGAAATCCATATCTGGATTACTAATGAGCAACTGGAAAGGACAGAGATTAATAGGGCCAAGGGGAAAGAATCCAAGGAAGTAATGCTGAGAAATTGGGAAATTCTACATCCCTGAATAAGTGCGGAAGAAAGGAAAATTAGCCCAAACCATGATTTTTAATCTATTTATGTTGCACTGAAGAAGTTCTTGACCTTTTCTGGACCTACCTGTCTCTAATCACCTTCCCAAATGCATTATGTCAGAGTACCACACATACCTGGGAGGGACAGAGAGGTTGTTGTCTCAACTCCCACCTCTACCAAGAATTTAAAGAAAAGGTAGATAAGATTAGCTCTAGTTGTAACCAAGATTATAATCAACTACCTGTGTGACTCTGCACCCTGTTCAGTCAGAGGAAGGAGAAGTTGTGCTCCATTTGTATACAATGTGTCAAAAATGTATTTTACTGCCATGTATAATTAGAAAAAATTAAAAAATAAAAAGGTTTTTTTTTTTTGAAAGGTTAGTTTAGAGATATGCAAGTAGCTTCTACAGGCCTCAGGATAGATCCTAACCCAGCAAGACCTGGCAACATGATCAATCTGTTAAGACAGTATGAGAAAGGACACGTCCATTACAAGGAGAGTTGGCCAGCAAAGGAGCTTAGAAGAGACAGTCACCAGGGCCAATAGTAATCACGCAGCCCTCTCAAGTGCATGTCAGGCAAGAGGGCATGGGGGATGGGTCATGGGCCCTTGAGGCTCAGAAGCCACTGGATTCTTCAATAACATGATTTGTGGCTCAGATTCTATTTATATCAGAGCTTCTCAAAGCTAGACTCTTGATTCCAAAAAGAAATAACATATTTATCAAGCTTGTTGCCATTCATTTGCTTGTTGAATTATACTTCTGATTGTTAAAAAAAAAAACAGGTTGGCATTCTAGTTGGTACATCTAGTTCTCTTAATAATTCAGCCTTCCTAAAATCCATCATTTCTGGGAAGTTAAGAAGTTTTGGTACATGCAGCATCATGCTTCATCCTGGACCACACTGAGTTCATGGTGAATGGACCCTTTGGGATCCATCCTGGTGTCCCAATGGCCAGAATTCCTGGGTCATGCCTTTTAACTCAACATAATACAGAGGAATATTTCTGCAGATTTCAGTTCTGCTCAAAACCCCAAGATAAGTCCCTACTTTTTAATTAATTATTTTCAAGTTAAAAGACCAAAATCTGAAATTTTCTGAAAATCCCCTCAGGCTCCCTCTGTGCTGTATTTCCTACTGTGTTTGCCCTCTCATATGTCATCCAATTGGGTGAAAACACTTTTCCTCATGCACTCCTTGCTTGGAATTATATTCCTTCTCCTCTTGAGTTCAATAAAATTCCGCTGCAAGCTTAAAGTGTAATTCATGTTCCAGTTTTTCCAAGAAAGTTAGTCCACGTTGCTGTACTTGCTTTTCCTTGGACCAGAAACAAGTATGAACAGAATCACAGAACTTTCACCTACTCTTCCTCAGACTGTTCCTACTGTTTAATCAAGTGCTCTGTATGCACTGTTGTTGCCTAGCCAACTTGTGGTTTCTCTGGAAAAGCTGGAAGTACAACAAAACCAATAACTGACCGTGCCTTTTTAGAATACTTTACTAGTTCCCATACTAACAAGGGACAGAATCAACCAGAAATAAATATTGCTAATTGGATGGGTTTTATAAGTTGGAAGTACATAAACACAAAGAGCTTTTGCAAACCATTTGTTCATTGAACCAAAAAAAAATTTTTTTTCATTTTATACTCTAGACAAGATTCTAGTTTTCCCCGCAAAAGTCAGTCCCAATATTCAGATGCTAAAGAAAGAAGCATCCCCAGATTCCTATTTCTTAGTCCAACCTCTGAAACTGACTGTTAAGAGTATTTCTAACTCACCATGTTTTCCAAAACATCTTTCTCTGTACTATGAATGAACTATAAAAAAAAAAAAGAAAGAAATTTTTACTTCTCAAAATAAGGATTTCTATTCTATACCTATATAAATTGCTGAGGAAATGTTCTTTTTTAAAGGGTTATTAAGCTGGACTAAAGTAATCAGAAGTTTTGTCAGACCTCCCTCTTCAAACCATGCGAATGCAGGGGTAGATGAAGCTGATTAAGACCCTGAAGGGTTCTGTGGCATTTACAGGAGTACTGAGTTCTGAAGTTGGAGACTTCAGTGGATTCCCGTACTGTCCCAATACACAATGCTGATCTATTAGGTCCTTATCAAGTAATAAATGATTTTGGGAGACTGAAGCAAGCAAATAAACAAACCAATTCCTTCTCTTGTTTTAAAAAAGAAAGTCTTCAATTCCTTTAAAAAGCACCTATGAATATATATCTATAAAACCTCAAATGGAATACTATTCTGAAATATAGTAAAGTCAAGAAATAGGAGTGTGCACATAATGGAAAAGTTTTTTAGGCATAGCATAAGTCTTTAAGTTTTCATCCAGGAAGAATAATTTGTACTGAATTTTAGTTTCAAGGCTAAAACATTTAAAAGCTACTTAAACGTCACACTGCTAAAGAGAAAAAATAACATTGAATTATTTTTCCCAAATCTCTGAATTCAAGAATTATACAGGGATACTTATTTTCAGGAACTTGATTTGAAAGACAATTGGGGACAGACTCACTTTAAAATATATTTTCTTAAAGGCCTAACATTTTAAAGACCCTATTTCTCAGACCTTCCTATCAGGGCTTGGGAATGGAAACTTTATACTATTGCTGTACACATGGCGTATCTTTCCCTTTTATCACAACCATTGTTATACTTCCTTGGACTCTTCTTTGTGACCACTTCTCTTACAAAAGGGCTTAACCACTTCAGTGTGGGGTTTGCAGATGATTGGGTGCAAATATTTTATATTTCTGTTTGCTAAAACAAAAATATGGTTCACACTCAGGGTGGCAAAAGCCAAACCCACTGAAATGGTTATTTCTATTGGAACAAAAATACCAAATGACATTTAAGGTATCAGTTTAATTTTCTGGGGTGGGTATATAAGCGTACTTTAGGTCAAAGTTCATAAGAAGAACTGATAAGTAAGATGTTCCCTAGTGATGGCCCTGTAAAGAGTTTTAAATTAAGCCATATATTTTTCCTTCACCTGGTCACATACTATACCCCAAGCTATCTAGTAGCTGATGCCCACATGAGTAGAAAGGAGGCAATTTCACCCCCCTGTGAAATCCCATTTCATGCATCTTTGAAAAATTCGAATGTGCATGATAATAAAATATATCACAGAGACAAGAGCTCTTGCCAACAGTTGAAATTAAAAGCATATCCTAATCCCTCTGTAAGCTCACAGATCAGGCAAGTGTCAAAAGCAAAGAAAGGCTTTGTGCAGGAATTGCCATACAATTCTCTGCATACTCTATTTTCAGTTCCCTGGCTGTGAATTTTCCTTCTAGTGAATCCTTGAACACACCCTCAGACTCCCTGGTTCTTGAGGTTTTCATGTCTGTGTTATTCACCCCTCTCTGATGTGATGAACTACAGAAGGAAGAACTATACCTGGGTGTGCTGTTTTTTTCTGACATGAAGGATACAAACTACAGGGATGTATGCTACGGGTGGGGGATGGGGGGTGGAGAGGGAAACTTTCAAAGTTCCAGCTTGGGGAAGAAGAACATGCCTAGCTAACCTGCAATCCCCTCTTGGACGTTCATCTTAGGTCTTCCAGGTACGTTACAATGCATTAAGAATATTCCAAGGATTTCTTGACAGTTTGGTTTTTGAGATGTTTCTACTATTTCAGGAAAATGCAACAGTTCCATTGGTGACTGCAGAATACCAAATTATGTAAGGCACTGCAGAGTATGTGAGGCCAAATGTTTCTGTGAACACCACTCACAATTCAGCACCCTGGAACGGGGAAAGGGAGGGTCCTGGGCACCAACAAAGCGCACACGCATGCTGGGGAGCCAAGGGACAGAGGCGGTCGGCTCGCGGCTTTCTCTCTGCCCTGGCAAAGGAGGAGGGGGAAGAAGAGAGAGAGGGAAGGCAAAGTACCGTCTTGTCCAGGCACTGAAGGCAGTTATAAGGCTTGCAGCAGCAATGGCCCATCCCGGCAGGCTGGCTGGTAAGGGGACCTCCTGCTTTCAACGTGTCAGCGGTAATTCCTAAGCCCAGGAACTGGCACTCGAGAAAGGGGCGCGCCGCCGGGAGCTGTCACAACTTCCATGTGGTCCCTTCGGCTACCTCATTTCTCCTAATAACTTCAGGTATCCAGGCGCCAGAGGGTTGAGAGGCAGAGGAGGGCGGAGCAGCAGCCTCCGGAATCCTGCTGCGGGAGGCCACCCTGGCGGGCGGGAGGAAGGGAGGCGACAGGCAGTAGGGAGGGTCACTTTGCCCCCGGAATCCTCAGAGTGAGGCAAATCAATAGTCGCATAACAAGGGAGCATTCGCCAGTGCCATCTCCCCCGGAGGACAGCCAGCCTGCTCTCAGCCGGCAGCCGCTCCCAGCCCTCCCGAGTGCGGATGCGCCCTGCACCACGCAGACACGCCTGGAGAGGACGCAGGACGCACACAAAAGGAGCCCGGCTTCCAGGGACGGTCTGAGGACCACCGGGCCAGAGCGGTCAGATCCGGGCTTTCTGTTCCTCTAAGAAGTAAAGACCTTTGTAAGTGTGATGATGTGGCCTCTCCTCCCTGGCAACTCCATTTGTTGCCCATGAGAACCATTTTCCAATTTCATGCCATAAACAGTTTTTGACTTTCTTTGATGAAATCTTTACATTTGTAATATAATTTTTAAAAAAAATTTTTTTAGTTGTATATGGACTCAATGCCTTTATTTGTTTTTATGTGGTGCTAGGATCGAACCCAGTGCCTAATTTTGAGACATAATTGTGAAATCACATATACAAACCATCCAAGTGGCTTCGGTAATTAAAATTGTGGTTTGGGATATATTTTTCCAGGTATTTCTCCAAAGCAAATGGGCATAAAAGCTTAGAGGACTTGATTACTTTTAAGGCAATTTATTAATTATTTTTAATTAAAAAATTAAAAATAGAAGAGGGCAAAAGTTATTTTCAAAACAGACTTGGTATTTAAAAAATATATTTATGTAATCCTGAAATTAAAGATGCAAATATTGGCAAGATTGACTTTGACCCAGAGGAGAAATTCCAAAATTTGTCATGAGCAAAAATACACAATTACATTTTCATCCAATAAAGTTGCCTTGGCTAGAAGCAGACAATAGTTGCTGAAATTAGGTGATTTTACTAATTTAACTGAGATTTTCTAAGCAGATTTTAACTAAATAACTAGTACAGGCTACCGTTGATTTACTTGTAGAAAGACAAAAGTATTTGGTCAAATATGGACAGAGTGGAATATTTGGAATGCTTGTCCTAAATGTGACAAAATAAATGCAAATCTTTTTAAAGCTAGCAGATAAATTAGCATAATCCTTTAGGAAGGCAATTTGGCCATATCTACCACATTTTAAAATATCCATATACTTTTTGACCCAAGATTTTCCCTTCTATCCTATGCTAATACATCAATACCCAAGAGTGTATGTGTCAGGATCTTCAATTCAACATCATTTGTAACAGCATAAAAATAGGAAATACCCTAGGTTTCTGAAACCTTCCTACTATATGAAAAGGTGATACACTGTTGAGTGAAAAAGTAAACTTTTTTTTGGTGGGGGGGGTAACCAGGGATTGAAATCAGGGGCACTCAACCATATCCCCACCTTTATTTCGTAGTTTATTTAGAGACAGGGTCTCACTGAGTTGCTTGGGATCCTCCTGCCTCAGCCTTCTGAGGAGCTGGAACTTAAGGTGAGCACCATCATGCCTACCCAGGGAAGGTAAACTTTTATCAAAAACAAAGCAAGCATGTTCATTTGTGGATGCATTTGTTTATGTTTAGAATGAAGCTTTGAAAGCAGAATGCTATCCATGAAATAGTAGCCAGCCCTGGCAGAATGGGAAACAGGTGAATGAGCTCATTTCCACTTTTAGCCTATTGCCAGTATGTTTTAGTTTTATTGTTTTAAAAGAAGTAAACTAGGGAATAGGCAAGGACCACCCACTGTCTGGGCTCTGTGATGTTGAACACAGCTGCCTCCTCTCACAGGCTTATATGCTCTTTGGTGGTGAGATTGGGCTGGCCTAGCGTCCAGTACCTTGAACATGAACCTGGGATGAAAGATGTTCCAAGAACTTTTGAAACCTTGGGAGAAAAACTTTACATTGTAAGAAGCAGTTGTTTTGTACACCCATGTTCATAGTGGCCTTATTTACAAGAGCCAAATGTAGAAGTAAACAAGTGTGTATTAAAGGACAAATGGATAAAGAAAATGTGGTGCATACATGCAATGGAATATTATTTAGCCCTAAAAAGGAAGTTCTTTTTTTTCCCTTTGGTTCTGGGAATAGAACTCAGGGACTTGTGCATGCCATGTACTCTACACTGAGCTGCACCCCCAGACTATAAAGGGCAGGAAATTTGATGCTACAAATTTCTACAACTTGGATGAACCTTGAAGATACTGTGCTAAGTAAAATCAGCTAAATACAAAAGGATACATATTGCATGATTCCACTTATATGAGAACCTAGAGTTAGCAATTCACAGAGACTGGTTGTCATCGGGGGGACGGGGATCTGTTTAATGGGTTCAGACTTTCAGTTCTGCAAGATGAAGAAGGTTCTGGAGATGGCACAATGTGAATATATTCAACAACACTGAATTGTGTGTTTAACAATAGTTAAAATGGTAAATTTTATTTGTATTTCACCATAATTAAACAAAAACGTGGTGGCTTGAAGTCACCTGGAGGCAAAGAGCCCCTGTACATCAAGTATCCACCAAATCAAGATAGGCAGAGGCCCTTAGCACAAAGCTAACCCCCTCCCCAGCATGATGGAAAGAATGATTTCTTCAGGCAAAAATGATCTTCCTTCAGATAAAGTTTGCCTTAGGAAAGGATTTCTTTCTAAATTAAAATTTCTATTGCACCTTAGGAGAAAATTGCTGCTTCTTTTTGGGCCATGTATGAGAGCCCTTGCTAGCAGTTGTCCAAGGAGAAGAGGGTGAGACTGCAGAATCCCCCACAAACAAAGGTCGGCTTCTCTTCCTGTGCTCAGAGAGCACTAAAGGACAAGCGCTGGGGTTGGCTCAGTCCATCCTGAAATTGCACATGTGGCATGATCTCAGCCCAAATAACCCCCATGATGAGAAATGTACCAGTGTTCTAGAATTGTGTCTTCTTTGTTTTGTTTTCATGTTATAAAAATAATAAGCATACCCAAAACAGAGATAAATACAAAGGACCTTCCTCTTCCCGTGTCCAGTTTCAACAACCATCAAGATTTTGACACATCTGTTTCATCTATCCATTTTTACCTTTTCCAAATTAACCTATCATCACCCAGATTCCACCATCACCAAGATTTTTGTCACCTTGCTTTTGTCCCTTTCTTTTTCTTTTTTCCACCTAAAATATTTTAAACAGTTGCTAAAGTATTTTAAATAGTTGCATATGCTTCAGTAGACATGGCTAAAAATTGTGAACATTTTCTTACATAACCACAGTGCCATTAAAACATGGAATAAAACTGACAATATGTCCCTGGCATCGGATACCTATGCTGTAACAAAATTTTGGTTTCTAATTTTTGTATATAGTTTGTTTGTGTGAATCAGGACCCCGACCAGGCTCATGTGTTTTGTTCGGTGTTAAGCCTCCTGGGTCTCTTACGGGCAGCAACCACAGCCTCCCTTCTTTCTTCCTCATGCCACTGCCTTGCTCAGAACTGGGCCAGCAGTCTTGAGGAAGGTCCCCCAAGCTGAATTGGCCTCCTTGCTTCCTTGTAATATCATTTCACTCCTGCCTACATCCCTTTAGAGGAGATTTAATCCTCAAGTCTGCGTTAGATTCAAGTTCAATTTTGCGGGGGTAATGATACTTCAGACGTGACGTGGACACCATGTTGCCCAAGCACACCGTCTGGGTTTCCTTGTTAGTGAGTTACAATGAATCAGGATGTGATAAGCTCATCTCTGCCATTTCAAGTTTCCCATCAACCTTTCAGCTAAGAGTTGCATTTTTTAATAACTACTACCCGAACTCGTTATTTCACTGGAAGGGGTATAAAATGATGTTCTGATTGTTTTTGTCTTTTTACACTTATTAGTTGAAATTTTTATAATAAAAACCAATTTTTCAGGTTGGGATATAGCTCAGGAGCAGAGCACTTATCTAGCATGTGCAAAGGCACTGGGTTTTATCCCCAGCACAGCAAAATCCTCCTCCTCGACATCACCACTATCCCAACGTTTGTCAACTCAGGTTATTTCAATGCCCTACAATATAGTATATACAGAAAAGACAGACTAAAGGCATCTTCCGCCTTTCCTTCTACGAGCCAATTTTTTGAATAAACACCTGTCCTTGCAACAGTAGCCAATGAGGCTGTTGTTGAAGTGGTCATTTGCCTTCTCTCACTTTTTCAAAATATCATTAGAAATTATGAAGTGATGTTTTAATTTTAATATATACAATATTCTTTGTTTGAGCTTATTCTTTTTAGGTGCTCAGTGACTCCCATATTTAGCATATGGGTGCCCCTTCCTGTCCCCTGTGTCCTTCAACACAACTCATCAGTCTGATTGACTTTCTTCCAGAAACTGGAACTCATCAAGACCTAGACTCATCTTGTACATGTTCTTTTTATTTTAATTGTAGATGGACACAATATCTTTATTTCATTTATTTTTATGTGGTTCTGAGGATGGAACCCAATGCCTCACACTTGCCAGGCAGACGCTCTGCCACTAAGCCACGACCCCAGCCCATCTTGCACACGTTCTGCCACAGATCTGCAATCATTCATCCTCCTGAAGCCCTGCTTCCCTCTAGTTGTGAATGGTAATTAGATCCCGTACACAACGGGTGCTGTTATTCCCTCTCCCCACCTAATGGGGGTGAAATCCTCTTGGAAGAAGTTGTCCTTCCTGCAGACAAACCTCCGCTGAAGAAGAAATCAGGATGGGACTTTGGGCTGTGGTGAGAAGGAAATGATTCCTCCTTTTGGGGCCTTCAGAAACTGTAGCTTGGACTCCAGGTAGAGGCAAAATGCTCAATGAAATTCATTTTGAGGAAGATCAGTTGGCTATTATAACACAGTGGCAAGGCAGGGCTAGGAAAGAAGACACCTGCTGAATAAAGATTCTCAAGAGGCTGGTGATATAACTCAGTGCTTAGTGCTTCACATGTGTGAGGTCCTAGGTTCAATCCCTAGTACCAGAAATTTATTTTTTTTCTCCAGGAAGTTCCCAGAATACTTAGATACCTGGAAAAAGATCAGACTTCTTGAAAGCAAATAAAATAGGAGTTTAGACTGATGTAATTTGGGATAATAAGAAACTGAACTTAAAGGCTCTTGAAACCAGGGACGTTTTGGCTCCCAATATTTAAAAAATCTGTGATAATTTTTATTTCTGGCATGTTTTCTTGCATTAGAACAAGGATTTAGAAAAGCCCCGTGAAAGCCTAATGGTAGGTCTCATCAGAGAAAACCTCACAGACGCTCTCTGATTTGGAGCAACAAATAATTGATAACAGATGTCAGGCACTGTGCTCAGGATTGCATGAAATATTTCATGTAACTCTTGCAAAACTATGTGAAATGAGCACTATTATCATCTCCATTTTACAGGTGAGAAAAGGGAGGCTCAGAGATTGTACAAACTTGCACAAGAAACTAAGAAATTATTGATAGAGTGGAGCTTTGAATGCCGGTCTGCCTCTCAAGCTCACATCCTGTAAGCTGGTGTTATAACCTGGATAAAGGATCTGAGTATATGAATGTATTCAAACATGCTTGTAGAACTGCTCCATGTTTTCACAGCTCAAAACAAGCGCTTCCATTTTAATTATTTGTAAGTATGTTTACAGAAAAAAATGTGTCAACAACTTAAAAATGGACATAATAGAAATCAGGTGCATGTCAATGTTAGAATGTTCAATTTTTTATTATTATTTTTGTCTTAAGCTGGGAATTCCTTACCCATCCCCAGTGAGATTCAAGTCTCTTCAGCTCAAACTTGGCTCCCCAGTCAGCTCAATTTCACCTCTTCCAGGACCTCTGCCTGACCCCATTTGGAGTGACTTTTCTCTTTCTCTTGATTTCACATTATTCTGTATGCAGGGCCCCACAGCATCTTGTCTCATGTAATAATAATGGTTCACATTTGTCTTCTGCCAAATATCACAGCCTCCTTGCTGTGCCTCATTCAGTTCATCCCTGGAGGCTAGCAATCTGCCTTGAGATGGTCTCAAGGAAAACTTCTGAAGTGTTGCAGGAGGGGACCCCGTGACTCAAACCCAGTAAAGGTGGCTTATGGGAAGAGACATTTGGTGCTTTGTCCAGTTTGTGAATCTTAGTACCATTTGCAGGTGATAGATGAGATTAAAAAAAAACCAAAAAGGTATCCTGTGTCATTATTTATTTGAAAAGAAAACCTTGAAAAATGATCGTGACAGAGTCTCCTGCAGATCGTCAAGGCAACCATCTGTTTATTTTGGTCCCACCATCTATGCCCCTCCTTTTTCCATGCATCTAACATATGAGCTGGAGTACTGGTATGGGATGTTCGCAGAGGATTGCCAGGAAAATCTGCGTAGCTTTTACCAAATTCAACCCATCTAGAGATTCTAATGAGGTGAGAGTGGCCCAGGCAGGGGTAATACAAAACAGGAATCTTAACACTGGAAGCAATCGGTGGTTAAGATCATCTGCACATAGACATTTAGAGAGGCTTTGGAACACCTCTGACACAACAACTTGAATTTAGGAAACTAAAAGAAAAAGGAAGACACAAGTGACTTAAGTGCTTCTGTCTCCTTAGATACGTTCTTAGATACCTGTCAAAAGAAAACTAAAAATAGAATCATTTTTTCTGTAATAGTCAAGTAGTAAAATTGTTATCAATAAGATAATCTTTTTTCTAATTTAGTCTTTGACAGTACTTTTATTTTATTTTATTTTAAGCCAATGACTAGCATCCTCAAGTCTCTGCCTTATATGCAGCTGAGTTGGCCACTCTCATAAGAGAAATGAAATTCAGTACTTTCTTAACAGGGTAAACAGGTTGGACAAGATTGGAAAATTGATAGGTAGATTCAGATATATGGATGGGAAGAAGTTGGCAAAACCAGAAAGTGCATTTTTCTATTTGTCACTTATTAGATGAGAAGAGTGATTTGTGAACCATAAGCGGACTGCTAAGACAAAGAACGTGAAAGAAAGAAAAAGAGCAATCACAAAATAGAAGGCTTATGGATTTCAGTTTGATTCTCGGCTGGGTGGCTTTGGTGAGTAGTTCACTCACTCTGTTTCAAGGCCTCAGCTTTCTCTTCCATAATATGAAGATAAAATTCTCTACCCTGTAAGGTTTCTGGACTTGGCTTTCTCCTTTAATTAGGTTGAAAGATGCTAATGATTCTATTTATAGTAATAAAGACAGCGCTGACAGTTCACAGCTAAATTGTTGCTAGAGAAGTGCAAATGAGTTGGCATTGGATATTCCGACTCAACCAGAAGTAAGGAGCTGGGTAAGCAATGAATATCATGACACTGGCTCCTAAGCCATAGCATGAGAAAGGATGAGCTCAGGAATTCAAATTCCTAGCTCAAGTGTCAGATAAATAACCTAAGAGCCTCCACATGTACCCTGAAAGAGATCCTTATCCTCTGTAGCTTCAGGGCTGAAATTGCTGAAAATCATATACAAAATCTCATTCTGTCATGGTTTGAATGACAACACAAATTGAACTTCCAGTCATGGAAGGAGTCTACTCTTTTTCTTCATTTCCTGCAGTACTGGCGATTAGACCCAGGGCCTTAAACATACCAAGCAAGTGCTTTACCACGGAGCTACATCCCCAGCCTTTTTTTTTTTTTTGAGACAGAGTCTTGCTTAGTTGGCCACAGATTACAGGCTTGTACTACCGCCCCTGGTTTGGGTGTCTACACTTGAAATGAGAGCACTGCTTGGGAAAGAATGGATCCTATAAGTTGGCATGGGGACATTGGGCCCCTAAATTACTTTTAAACATTTTATTAGTGCATTAGAGTTATACATAATATTGAGGTTCATTCTGACATCATCTCACATGCATGGAATTTAATATGCTCCATTTCAGTCCCCAGCGCTTCCTATTTCCCTCCCCTCTTACCCCAGCCCCTTGTTTCCTTTCCAATTACTCTGCTGGTCTGACTTGTATTTATTGACTGTTTTTTAATTGGTGCTTTATAGACAAAGTTGAAATTCACTGGGGTATATTCATATATGTGCATAGCATAATTTGGCCAGTGTTATTCCACAGTTCCTTCCCTTTTCATCCCTCTTCTTCTATCCCCTCTTCTACTCCATTGGTGTCTCTTCTATTGTCATGGAATCCCTCTCCCTTTTTTACCTTATTTTACTTTAGCTTCCACATGTGAAAGAAAACGTTTGACCCTTGACTTCCTGGTCTGACTTTCCCCCTTAATATGAGGTTCTTCATTACCATCCATTTATTAGCAAATACCATAATTTCATACTTCTTTATGATTAAGTAAAACTCTATTGTGTGTGTGTGTGTGTGTGTGTGTGTGTCCCCGTCCAGTCATCTGCTGACAAGCAATTGGGCTGGTTCCCTAACTTGAGCCCCTAAATTCCATTGTATCTTCATCACCAAAGGAAGACATTTCTCTACCTTCAACCGAAGTGGCTTACCTAACCTCACAGGAAGTGACCCTCCTGACTCCAATGGCACCAGCCTTGGAGTCTCAGCTCTTGGGGGGATTAACCTTCATTGCCTGGGGAAACCTTAGTGGCCTCCCTCAAAGTGGCTGTCATGCAGGACAATGCTGACTGTCGGGACCAACCTCCACCTGCCCTCTTTACTTCTAGACCTATAATTAGGCTTCAGTTCCAGAAGCCACCCAAGAGGAGGTACAAAATGTGATCCATTACGAGATGCATTTCATTCTGAAAGAAATTTCTGGAAGAAATTATTTCTCTAATTTATATAGTCAAAAATCCAAGGAACAAATGTTGGAATGTGTGGGAAGCCGTTCTTGCACGTGATTGAGCTACCTCCCTGGCTGGGTGTGAGGCCTTCAGACCAGCTGGGTCAAAGCTTTTCCCCACCCTTCCCAGGTGCAAGGGCTTGTCCGTGTCGGGGTGTGACTGACCATTGACCTGAAAACCCATCACTGACCCTGACTTTGGAATGCTGTCCCCCTCAACCTTCATTGGATGAGATTTTCCCTTGAATTTTTTGTTCCCCAATAAAAGTTAATCCTCTGGCGTGCCTCTCTCTCTCTTGTGTAAACCTCGCTACCGCCAGGTGGCTAGAGGCAGGAGCTGGGAGGGGCTGTCTCTTAGCTGGGCAAGAAAAATGGTAAATTGAGTGTTATGTGTCTTTAATTTGAACTCACTAGTTAACTTCTGTTTCCAACCTCTAGTATGAAGCTAGCGTGTTGGTCGCGTGGCAGAGGAATGGATACTCAAGGTGTAGGATGATGATGGAAGTAACTTGAGTAATTCAGGCTAAATTTATTACTATGGGCTACTAAGGAGAGATTTTGTATTCAATGTTCTAGCTGAGGGAGTTAGAAAGGGCTCTAACGGTTTGGTTGGTTGGTTGGCTGAAGCATGCAACAGAAGGTTGCTCACAGTGAGAAAACCAGAAGTGCTGGACAGGCTCTGTTTAATGTAGAGGAAGGGACCTAAAGGCTTAGGGAGGCTGGAATATTACAGTGGATATAGGACCTGCACTGGAAGGGTCTAGAACACATGAGGGGAGGCAGAACATCATGGTGGAATAGTGCGGCAGAGGAAAGCAGCTGGGAACATGGCCTACCAACTCATAAAATATAGACCCCAAAAGCACACCCCCATGACCCACCTCCTCCAGCCACACCCTATCTGCCTATAGATATCACTTGGCTAATCCCTTTCAGGGCATTAACACACGGATTAGGATAAGGCTTTCATAACCCAGTCATCCCACTTCTAAACCTTCTTGCATTCTCTCACACAGGAGGTTTTGGAGGACGTCTAACATCTAAACCATAATAGATGGCCTGACTTTCCCCCTGGAGCTTTAGCTCAGATAGAAAATGGCCAATTAATCATGACGTTCCTAGATTGCTCTGGAACTGAACAGTCAAGTAAATTCTTACTTCACCAGATACACAGAGAAATTCTAAGTCAAGTAAACAAAGTCTAACCTTCATCATAACAACAGAGACAAAGTTCCTCGATTCATTTTTAGACTCGCAAAAGAAATGTGAAAGAATCAAAACGGAGTTGTTAGTGTCAACCTTACTGAAAAAATTAAGTAAGCAAGGAGATTATGGAGGAAGGAAGGGCTCTTGCACATGATTGCTTGAGAGTAACTGTCACAAAAGACCTGTCAGAACCATAAGCACAGATGTCACTGCACCCTGACAAAGTCCTCTACAAGGACAGGACCAGTATCTCTCTGTTCAAATCTGAATTGCTGTCACTGATCATTGTAGCCAAAGATTATTGTTTCAAAATATCTATACAATCCTCATTTTTGTCTTAAAAAAAACTTTGCCCTGCCTCAACCCTTTTGAATATGCCCATGGTTTACTAAGGTATGTACATTCTTGTTGCAACGCTCTGCAATATACAAAAAATAGGATTATTCTTTAGAGACTCTCTTCCTCTGGTTGCTTTTATACTTAGGTTGACAGACTCAAGCCAGTTTATAGACCAGAACACTGTGAGTGAAGGGGATGTTGGACCCCCTTGTGGGAGAACCTTAGTATTCTACTGAAAATTACACTAAAATTCTAATCTTTCTCCTAGTCTTCTCAGAAGGAACCTATATCTGTTCATTGGGGGAAAAGAAATAATCAGAGCTTTGGGAAACAACTATAGCCTGTCTGTGAACTGACACTAATTCCAGGAAATCCAAAATTCCCTGTGGCCTACCAGTCAGAATAGGGGCTTATGGAGGTCACATGACCCATGGAGCTTTAACTCAGATAGAAAATGCAGGGTTCTGTAAGACAAGAATACTGAAAAATCAGAGGACATAAATCCCTGGCTCCATTCACCCTCTCCCCCAATTCACTACAGAATCTTGACTCTGTAATACTGAATAAAGACAGCAACAATCCAGGAATCTTGAAAACCAGCCCCAAACTACACAAATGGAAAAAACAAAATAATAGATGCAGAATTACTACAAAGAATCAGAAAAATGAAATCCAACACATTTACCCCAAGAAAACAACCATGAAACAAGAACATTGAAAACTGAATTAAATATACTAAAACTAGCATTTGGGATACTAAAAAAAGATCTTATGAGAAATACAAAAACGAAGAACAGAAATGGACAAGGGAAAGAAACTAACAATAATTATAAAAAGAGTTGATTGAATTTTGAAAAAATGGAAAAAAGAGGCAAGGTTATTTCCAAAATGAATATTAAATTATAAAGTGTTCAAAAGATAAACCAAGATGAAACCTTACTAAGAGACATTTTTAAAGTTAGGAAAACAACCAATAAAATAAAAATGAGAAAAGTCTAGAAGTAAAAAGGGTCATGGAGAAAATAGTGGAAGTGGAAAACAGAGAAGAATTAGTGCTCATATTATTAGATTCTCTGAAAAGGAAAAAACAAAACAGAGAAATACTTAAGAATTATAATGTAAGAAAACTTTCCAGAGAATGAATCTGCATATTGAAAGGGTCTACTAGGTATTTGGAAAAGTTTACCCAGATTTATCAACCTGTTAGAATTCAGAGATTAAAAAAAAAATTAGGCAGATGTTTTGCCACTCTTGGTTCAAGATAGTGAACAAAAAAATTTTAAAAAAGGAAAAAACCCAATATAAAATATAATCAATTAGTTAAATGTTATGCATTTATATTATATTATATAAATATATTTGATGCTAGCAAATATACCTTTTTATGAATCACCTTTGAATCATTCATAAAAATTGACCACATAGAAAACATCAGTAACTTTCACAAATTTGAAATATTGCCAAAAATACTCTGATGAAACCACAATAAAATTGATTAACTAAGGCAATACAAACAATGCTATAGTTTGGATATGATTTGAGAGTATCCTGCAATGGTTTATGTACTCAAAGATTGGTCCCCAGTGTGGAGGTATTGGGGTGGGCAATTTGAAATGGTGGGGTGTTCTGGAAGGTGTTAGTCATGGGGGAACCACCCTCAGAAGGAATTAATGCTGCTGTCATTAGAGTGAGTTAGCTTTCTCAAGAGTGGGTTATTATAAAGGAAATCCACCCAGTGCACTGGGCCTTTTCT